AATATGACGAGGAATACACCGCTGATGCTGGAGTACTCCAGGACATTACTCCCCGTGTGCGGCACGCCGTAGGCGTCCAATGCGAGTCTAGTATGGTGGGGGTCACCGTTGGCGTCCAATGCGAGTCTAGTATGGTGGGGGTCACCGTTGGCGTCCAATGCGAGTCTAGTATGGTGGGGGTCACCGTTGGCGTCCAATGCGAGTCTAGTATGGTGGGGGTCACCGTTGGCGTCCAATGCGAGTCTAGTATGGTGGGTGCCACCGTAGGCGTTCAATGCGAGTCCAGTATGGTGTGTGCCACCGTAGGCGTTCAATGCGAGTCCAGTATGGTGGGGGCCACCATTGGCATCCAATGCGAGTCTATTATGGAATATCCCTCCTCACCTCGCATCCATGCAAAGTTGGACTGTGGAGTACAGACAGATATTCACAGTCAAGATGATCGAGATGTTGATGATTCAAGTGATTGGGTGTCGGTTACCTTGGCCGATGTTGCGAAGATTTACAATCCCCCTTCAAGCATGCTCATGAATATGGGGTGGGAGGATGCAAGTCTACCGCATCCTGATGAAGGCATAAATGAACAGTATACGGTATGTTTGTCAATCCCTCATCTGATAATCGACTAATGATGCGATCATCAATAAAGGACGATACTGGATATGAATTAACATCAGGAAATCTCAGTGATCATCCTGGTGATGAATCACATATTGAATCAATTCATCTGGAAGCATCGAGCACTTCCCAGAGCTACATTTCGCATACGCCCAGCCTTCCCGATGATCCTAGTCTGATGTGCAACGCCCATTCTTCAGGCGAACGGCATGACCATCCCGGTCATGATACGGTGCAGAAAACATGCGGCTTGCCTGCCTCACCTCCGTTAAAGTCAAGATTACGCGATCACAAACAGGCTCGCCCGACAAACACTCCTGCTGTAGCCCATCAAACACAAGGTCCATCGAAGCCTGGACGTCCAGTCGTATATGCTACCCAAAGGCCCGCACTGAAGGGTAAGGCCTCCAAAGTGTCGCAAATGTCTACAGCGCACCAGTATACAATCCAAGGTCTCCTTGACGAGTCTCAGACAGGGGGAAACAGTGTTACGCAATCTGTATGCTTTTCACGAAAGATATTCATGTATAATTTGAGCTGAAATAACTACATAGATTGCCGCCTTTCTCATGGACCCTAAAGGACTAGATTTCCTCCAATCTACCATCCAATCGAATCATGATTCCTGGTTGGCCATCGCTCGGCATGTGGCATTACTGCTTCGTGATGAATGCATGTCCCATGCCATGAGCAGAGCAGCATCGTCATTGATGGCGATTGAACTATGGGTCAAGGATATAGCTATTGAGTGCGATGAGGTACTTCGCGATCAGACTGGCGATTCAGTCCTTCCCCAATTGGTAGGCAACTATGCCCTTTGCGATCGTGCTATTCTAACTTCCAAATTGGCAGGCTCATTGTGTGATTGTTGAACTGTCGAACAGCGCCTTAGTGGATGAGGACTCGTTGCGCTGCACACTGCACAGAATTTGGGTAAAGTCATTGGTTGACAGTCGTACCAGTCTGCTGGACTGACCATCATGTTCCGCCCATTAGACTAATGATAACATCAAGTCCATGAAATCCGTGCTCCGATATCTCCTACGTGTATCTCGGCCTGATAACAATGACCCATATGCCCCTGGACTTCGAATCCTATCATCGGTGATGGCAGATCGATCCATCGTCCTGCCAGCTCATAAAAGATAAACGCACAAAGTGACATAGTATCTAATAGCGAGTACTACGGTCGATGTTTTGTGGAATGTGTTTCGATACCAGGAAATTCAGACAGATGTTGCTCAAACTATTTCTCAACCACATTCATGCACATGGACAAATATTCACATATCATTGAACGTATGTACGATGTGATTAGACTAGATGTGCTGAGTGGAAAGGTTATAGCACAAACACGGGTCCTTTGAAACAACACAATTCAAATTCAAGTATTCCAAAGCGATTGGAAATTCTTATTTATTTCGTAACATTTGGTTTCTGACTGAGAATTGCGAACGCCTCAGGTGGACTATCTCGTTGTACTCGGTTCCATCTGGTATGAGATGTGACTATTGTTATGTTAACTATACTGTAGTCACCGAATTAACCTCGCATCATGGAAACATAAAACAAGCATGCAACAATCTCGGACATCACATTCGTGATGTTCTTTGTGTTGCAAGTGTTAGCCGAAGAGAGGGCAAGAATCGATGTCTCTAGAATATACAAAGTTCATATGGTCTGGCTTCCACGCATTCGCATAATTTGTCATTTTTGACAAAGGGTGAGCTTACCATCGCTAACTGTGCAACATCGAGTCTATCTGTTCATTTGCAAATTTCTGCAGTCAGTATCGTCATTTAGTAGATCATCTCTGTTGATGTATTTACTGAATGCACCTGTTGGAGAGGAGTCGTCCAAATCTCAACGTGGTGAAATACAGACGCGCTCATTGGTACTGAATTGAACAATCATCTACGACATTTGTGCGTTACATCTATAGGAGCGGTGCAAGCAATCGTTCATTGTATGATACCTATGTCCCGTCTCTGTGCCGGAGTGAGCGGCCACTGGTACCATACACGTCCATAATTTTGAGAGCGTGCTCCATGGATCCATGACGGACATGCAATAGCCCTTTGCGTCATTCTGCATTGCAGACATGTATACTTGAGCTTCGTGTCGACCCAGCGCTGTCCGAACAATTGTTTTCCATGCGGATGGAAGATCATGTTGTATGCTGGTGCTTGACACTGCACATTCCAACACCTGTATATATCCAGGCCCCAAGGCCGGCCATCCCTCAGGTTTGAGTATGCCAACACCCTTGCATCTACCACGCGCTCTCGCACGCCATCGGGACGGGTGTTAATGGTTGCAAACGAGATGAAAACTGGAGATTGGTTTAGCGCGTGCCTGTCCTCCCCAAATGATTCTTCCATCGCATCCCAGATCTGCATGTCGAACACATAGACGTTTTCGATGAAACGATTTAATGCCGGGACGACAATGGAATCGATTGTTGATACACCTGCAAAAGTGAGGACAAAGTCGAACACGTCCCTACAATATGTTATATCAGATCGAAGCGAACTTGCATGAGAATCAAAGATGACTGACAGCTCGACGAAGCGCTTCAATAGATTTGCGCTTTCGGCCAGTCTGCCCGTAGCGCCACAGCAACATATAACCAGCCCACGAACGCACGGTCCTGCTCCCGATCCCTTGTTAATGGCTGCAATTGCCTGCGTGGCAGGCTTCAAATTGTCGTCTCCTATGTAGTTGGACAGCAGCTGTATTAACAATGATGATACTTAGTGAATGCTTTTGGTTGATTGGATGTCTGCCGACCTCATGAATAGGCACTGCCACTGGGTTCTGGGCGTTGCCAGACACGATTAGATTCCCCGTGTCAGTATCCGAATGACTATTGACGAAGATCAACAGGTTTCCCTCGTACTTGAGGTTTGCTAGCCACTGGAAATGCGGCGTCATGGCGCTCGGGCGATTATTTCCAGCTTTCAGGGATCGTGATGCCAGGCGAAGCTGAGGACCACACGTCTAAACAATCTATTCACCCAGAGGCATTAATGTCACATACCCTGGTTGGATCGATGCTGAAATGTTCTACGAGTGATGCCGACACGGTATTCGAGGCGTACGCGCTGCCGAATCCACTCCAAGATAAGAATATGCCAAGCAAGGGGAAGTAATTGCGATGCAAGAAGTCTTGTCTGACAGAGTATCCTTGAACCTTGTACTTTTAATCCCAGTTAGCAGCAGATAGATGACTAAAATACTATCACGACTCACTATAATTGGTATTCCGGCTGCACGATGACATCGAGGGCAAAGGAATGTATCCTGCGTCACTTTGAAGTCTCCGGTGAATTGATCTGGGGATGCGTCTATACATCCATGATCGCCCTGGCCCTTACTGATGCACACAGGGATATTGCACCCTTTGCCATTGCACCTCCATATAAACGATCCAACATCATGACAATAGATACAACACTACGCCATATATGGAAATCAGTAATTTCAATATCTGAATTTTATAGTTACATACGAGTTTTGGATCCTTGACTGTGTCAGTCGATTGATGACGTTGCCTTGTCGATGGATGTGCATCATCGATGTTCATTGCAGTACCATCATCATCTTCCATAATTGGAATCAATCGTACATACGATGCTTTGAGGGAATCAGCCTTTGGGCGTGCGCGCTTTGTAGTTGATGCCGCTTGTTGTGTGGCGCTTGGCTGATTTTTCGTTCTACGCGCACGGCCCGACGCTGCTGCTGACGCTGTCTGAGTTTGTGCGACGCCCGAGGCACCTGCTGCATTGACCGCTTTAAAGTGCTTTGAACGCAACATTTTTAACAAAAGCAGGATGGCGTGTGGCTCCAGGCAACAATCAACCTGGTTTCCCACGCGAGCGACCCTGGTAAATTACTCGATTTAGTCATGTTTAGTGCTGTCCAATTATGATCGTCATCATTTTTTAATGCCATAACATAATGTATTCATAATATCACGGCCAGCTAGCAAGCGTCTTGCTGCATCCGTCGTCACAAATATGATCATCAAAGTTGCAAGATAATCGTACATTGATGATGTAATGTAATGTAGTGGTTTTGCAATCAGATTGACTCCGCGAGGCCGCTGTATTATAAATCCTGATCATTATAAACCGATCGGATCGTTGTTCTGTGGTATCGGAAGCAAAAGGCAAGATTGGACATTAGTTCCCACGTCCACAAATGCGCCACGACAACAACTTGTACCTTGTACATGACAAAATAGATCATCGATGGCTTCCAACACCGGCTCTCACGCATCAAATTTCCCAACAGTCAATGCACTCGCATTAGAAATCAAAGACTACCCCGAGATTTTCGCAAATGTCGTTTTATCGTATGAAGCGTCGGTGGTTATTGAGAATAACAAGGCTTTATTAGCATTGGGTGAAGGAGTGGCACCGGTACGTTCTATGCTCCAGAATAGTGTGATTTGAATCACCTGTCGAATTCGTAGATCGAGATTCCCGATGCATGCGTCGATGGACTTAGACTCGTCGTCCACCAACTCCATCTATACCAATCTACTGCGAAGGCCTTGCAGGATCTTCCAAAATCAGACGCTGTCAACAAAGAACTGCAACTCTACATTTCTATCTCTGCATACCTAGCATCGACTGTAACTGCTTTTAAAGGAGAGCTGGGGACGGACAATACAACGAGCTCCAACGCGATGTGGAGGTCTGCGCATTTGGATTTTCATATTGCCCTCGCATTGGAGGACAGCGCATTTACGCAGGAGCAACAGACAATCGCATTGAAAGCGATCAGGCGCTCCTGGAAGCACTTCCGGGAGAAAAAAACGTACAAAAGGGTACAAGACCGTGAGTGATACATTGAACATCCTAACGTAGAGGTACAAGCATTTGATGCGTTCTCTATTCCAGTGACAGGTGCTGGAATGCACAAGGCCTTCTGCCTGAATGGTGACAACATGTGTGGTGGCCCATTCGAGCATACGCGCGAGCAATCCGAGTTAATCGCTTCTACCATTCAGACCCTTGAATCCGAGCCAGAGGTCGAAATGAAACAGGAGAGGGTCGTACGTTTTGACGATCCTACGCCATCGTTTTCGATCGAAATCACAAAAAGGCCTCCTCAGAATGCGTCGGGCAGTTCCAAATCGAAGTCGTCGAAGGGCAGGAACATAAAGGCCACTGCGCAGTCGGTTATTAATGCGCAAGACTCATCTGACGACATGGTCGTCGACTCGCAGAATGTTGAGGAGGATCCCCCAAAACGAGTATCCAGTGCGAAGTCGAAGAAATCAGGACAGGGTGTGCCTCGCAAGTCTATCGCGCCGGCATCTGGCAGTGGTCAGCTTAGATCTTCAGTGTTGGCATCTAACGAAGAGGTACGATATTTTTATAGCCACTTTGATTATCTACATGATCCACTATAGGAAAGCCACTCTGAACAAGTCGCTAATCTTTTCGAAAGCAAGGAAGATGCGAAGAAGACATGCAAACCACGGAAGGCCTTCAACAAGGGCAAGCGTTCCACACGAAAGGGGAAGAAGAAAGATGTGGTTCTTGAGGCTGAGTCTGAGGAGGAGCAGCGTGGAGACGCTCGCACCCTTGCTCAAATTGAAGCGGAAGTACGTTTCTCTATTAGTTGCTCTCCCTATGTCGCTCCAAAGAACTGATCGACTTTTTCGAAGGCAAATCCCGCAGCGAGGCGTTCTGGGCGGAAGAAAGGAGGTAGCCGCGTCATAGAGTCTGAAGACGACGAAGAAGATCACTCGACAGCGACTGCGATGGTGTCTGCGAGTGACCTCGCAGTAGGTCATGATGCGATAGAGTCGGATTCCGGGAACGCATCAGAGGTACTTGTAGGACAAAAGCACTGAAGTGCTGCTGACATTTCTCAACGTTTAGCGAAATGATCTCTCTGACATTGAAATGTCGCAGGACGGTGCGGAGGAGCTAGACGAAACAATCCTACCTACTGGGCTAGAGAACTGGGAGGCCTGGAACCAGATCGCATTCGAGGAAGGCAATTCGCAGATTTTGTTAAAGTTGGGGGCGTGGATGCTTCTTCGATTTCGGCAGCTGGCGATGATTCCCGTGGACGCCGATCTCAATGGCCTGATCATTCCGCAAAGTCCAAGGGGGATGAACTTTAATAGCGAGGACGACTTTTATGAGGCTATTGGAATGGAGCGATTGTATTCTGCCATTGCTCACATCGACACACGTCCTAGATACATGAGATATCTCCTGCACAGACTTGGACGGTCGCTCGCTTCAGCAGACAATGCTGATGGTCACTCCAACAACTTGTCTGTAGGCTCACCGCCAGCAGTCACTATCGGGTATGTCTGACCGAACTATATACATATATAGAACTCACATCAGCATCAGCATGATGTCGGATATTTCTGTACCATGGATCCCTCTCAATAGCGAGGTGCATGATGACACGGCTGGAGATACAACTGACGAGCAGGGCATAGTCACACATGCCATGCACGAAATGGCCATTGACAGTGATGGTGTCCCGTTGGATGAGTTACTTGATAAGAGTGCCCTCAACGACGGGAAGCGCAAGAGAACGTCTTCTCAGCCATCGCCACCAAAGGTACGTCGTCCTGCGTTAATGATTTCGCTCGCCATCACACCGTACAGAAGGATGGTGGTCGTGGACCATCGAAGCGTCCGAAGCCAGTCATTCAACCACGATCTGCGTCGGTACCTCCTATCCCATCATCGACTGTCTTGGTCCCGTCGACTGCTGCAGCCCCATCGACTTTCTTGGTCCCATCGACTTCTGTAGTCGCATCGACAGTCTTAGTACCATCTACCCCCGAGCCTCACGCATCGGACGCTGCTATTCGGAACGTCGGTACCGCCAGTGGAGAGGATGACGAGATCGATGCTGTCGGAGATGTTGATGATGAGCAATCTTTCAGCTCTGTTGCTGCTGATCCTTCGTCTATCACACATTCCAGTTCTGTCATGGAATCGTCGTCAACCGCTGGAAATGCCAATGTGAGTTGATGTGTCATTCGTCGATGCAACTCACCAATTCTGTAGGACTGGCTCGAAAACATGATCTCTCCACCCAGCTAAAGATACAATCTGATCAATTTCCACTCAGCAACGTTAGACCGATACGTTAGATGATTGTACAATACCACTGTTGCGCTCACGGATGACCTTACCTAGTATTCGAATCATGTTGATAGATAGCAATGCTGCAATTGATTGAATGTGCATGTTGTACCTTTAGTTTATTTCTCGCCGAGGGTATGACCAATAAGACAAAGAAATTACAACTGAATCTTCGTTGAGGTGTGGGATTTCATTTGTCGCCGTTGGACAGATTCATTATGTCATACGCCATATTTCGGTTTGCCTGAATACTTATCATATTATTAAATTAGGTAAACAACCTCATTTGCATTTATCCCTTCGCATGTTCAACGCCACAATTCTCTCTCATGTCGCCTACAAGTCTTGATCTAACGGTTGGGCTGCTGGGAAAGCAGGTCCCGAAGAAAAGCCAGACTGTCAAATGGAAGAATGGACATACAACTGTTCTTCCAATGGTCTGCAGTGACACAAACGTCAATGTTTGCGAAGCCGTTGACATTCCCATTATCAAATTCATGGCCGAATTTCCAATCTCTTTGTCAACATCAATGAACGTTCTGCATCTGAATAAAGAAGCGCTTGGGCGAGCGGACATCGTCGACGTCGTCGGGACTGCGCTGGGCTCAAACATGCCAGTTGTAATCAGAGGTGTGGCCCATGATATTGTAGATGGAAAGCTATCAGCGGCATACCTGGACCAACACTTCGCGATCTCTCCTTATCGTCCTGTGTGCATTCATGGTGAAATTTATATTTAAGCCTGATGTACGCTGCATTGTTAATCGATTCTAGATGTGATGATGCGATCGATAGACCATGTCCACCCCACAATATCTGGCACGATCGAGTCATTCTTCCAGTCAATGGATGACCCATCAAAAATACAATGCATCCTCGACCTCCCACTTTCTCAAGCAGCGATGCCGAAATCTCTCAGGTTAGTGTTACAATTGTCTATGTCAACACCCTCTCATATTGCTACAATCGTCCAGGAACATCGATCATGGGCTCGTGCACGGCTGGAATCAAACGACCCATAGTGTTCCGATTGTTTCAAAAGTCCACCCTGAGAATTTCACGGTGAAGGCATGGGGCATGCTGCATCATGCCGGATTTCTGACTTATCCACATCACGATGCGGAGGGCACGTCAACATGGGTACGAATGGAGGCTGGGGCCAAGTTCTGGGTGGTTTTCAGACCCAAGGACCGATGGGAAGATCGGAGCCATATTCAAAATATTGCAACACGGCTTGTCAACTTCGCAGAGCACAAGGCGTGGTTGAAGCAACACTGCGACGCTGAGTTGATAACCCTCCTAGCTGGTGACATGTTGTAAGGCGGCCGTCATCTTTCAGCAATCTCACTAATGTCGACTACGATATCCAGAATACAGCCACCTTGCACGATGCATGCGGTGTACACACCCATTGCCTCATTTGCTACAGGTGGCCACTTCTACCATTATGCTTGCATGCACCTCACCGAACTCGCCCGGTACATCGACGTTGAAGTAGCTGACTCCACAACAAACCAGGCCCTTGAGCATGCGTTAGAGACACTTCGTCGCATGGTCATCGCGATTCCCTACCTGTCCCCCCAAATAGGTGAGGTTTCAGTCTCTGGACGGGCATCTGAAACTCATGGCATGATCAGTGTTATTCAAGCGACCGCTACTCGGTCTCTGCATAATGGCGACCAAGGCAAGGCAGTATCGCGCAAAGGGAAGTAGCCGAAGGTCTGTGTGTGATACTGAGACTGCACAGCCGAGCATTGACATATCGGACGTTATACTTGATTATTTCGGATCATCTGAGTGGGTATCAGGAAGCCATATCCTATACCAGGGCAATCAGTTCATCCCCGGCGATCTTGTGGACAGGGAGGACCTTCGCCGTGTATTGACAAAATCGCTACAGTTGTAGAACGTCTGGGCAGCAAACAGGACTAACGAAGCGCTGTGATGCAGAATGTGTACTTGTATTCGCGCTATACTCAAGAGACATATGGCGGAGGTTTGTGTACGTCCTTGGAATTTGTCATGAAACATGTATGGCACGATCGTATCGATGGACCCGCTTAGCAAACACAAATGGACCATTGTTACTCTAGTTACTACCACGTCATCTAGTACTCTACTTAATTTACTGGAATCTGCGTTCGTAAGACAGACAGACAGATGACAGTAGATTTGACAAGTGACACATGAAAGCCAATTGTATTGTTGTGCCCTTCCGGCACGTTTAAGTCTACGGGTTCGAACTCAGACGTGGCGTGAGAACATCACGTGATGTGATGTTCAAATTTCGCGTCGACGTGTTCACTCTTGTTACTCTTTTCCCTTTACCTCCATGATGACGAGTTCTACGCCATGTCTAGGTTCTTCTGTTACATTGAATCTTATCCCTCCTTTCTTTCTGCGTCCTCGCTTCCCATGGAAGCAACAGAGCAGTTTGCACTGGCGCTTGTTGTGTATCATTTCTTTCTTTGCACTCGCGCCCTCGCTCCCCATGGGAGCAATAAAGCAGTTTGCTCTGGTGTTTGGTGTGTTTCATTTGTCTCTTTCCACCCACACCCTTAGCGGGTTTCTCTGACACTTGCTGTGTGTCATTCGCCTCTTTGGTCTCGCGTCCTCGCTCCCCATGGGAGCAACAGAGCGGTTCGCTCTGACGCTTGCTCTGTCCCATTCGCCTCTTTGCTCTCGCGTCCTCGCTCCCCATGGGAGCAACAGAGTGGATCGCTCTGACGCTTGCTCTGTCTTATTCGCCTCTTTGCTCTCGCGTTCTCGCTCCCCATGGGAGCAACATAGCAGTTTGCTATAGCGCTTGCTGTGGCTTATCCACCTCTTTGCTCTCGCATCCTCGCTCCTCATGGGAGCAACAGAGCGGATCGCTCTGACGCTTGCTCTGTCTTATTCGCCTCTTTGCTCTCGCGTTCTCGCTCCCCATGGGAGCAACATAGCAGTTTGCTATAGCGCTTGCTGTGGCTTATCCACCTCTTTGCTCTCGCATCCTCGCTCCTCATGGGAGCAACAGAGCGGATCGCTCTGACGCTTGCTCTGTCTTATTCGCCTCTTTGCTCTCGCGTTCTCGCTCCCCATGGGAGCAACATAGCAGTTTGCTATAGCGCTTGCTGTGGCTTATCCACCTCTTTGCTCTCGCGTTCTCGCTCCCCATGGGAGCAACATAGCAGTTTGCTATAGCGCTTGCTGTGGCTTATCCACCTCTTTGCTCTCGCGTCCTCGCTCCCCATGGGAGCAACAGAGCGGTTTGCTATAGCGCTTGCTGTGGTTCATTCACCTGTTTGCTCTCGCGTCCTCGCTCCCCATGGGAGCAACTGAGCGGTTCGCTCTGGCGCTTGCTGTGTTTCATCGTCTCTTTGCTTTCACGTTCTCGCTCCCCATGAGAGCAGCATAACAGTTTGCTATAGCGCTTGCTGTGTCTTACTTGCCTCGTTGCTATCATATCCTCACTCCTGGAGGCAGGAAAAAAAATGAAATCTATCTCCCACTCTGTGTGACCCGTTTCCTTCCATTCCTTCATGTCTTCCCATTTACTGAAATTTATAAGTTGAGCTCAAGGCATGTAGGTCCTCTTAACGAAATTGCAATTGCAAAAGACCACTGTCAGATGTAAGGCTTTGATTTTGTTCGATGTTTCGGTACTCGATAATATTAAGTCCACCTCAATATCATGTGTGAACGTGCTGTCCGATGATGTTCTGATGAACGCTGTTCTCAGCATTGTTTTGTTCTCCGGGAACACTGAGATATTGAGAGCAAGCTTGCACAATCTATTCAATGTGTAGAAATGGGGATTTGAAGTAGTCGCCTGATTTACTTTGCGCGGCAGATAGATTGTCTTTCTCCCTTGATGCATCATTCACAGGTGGCTTACTAGTCACTGAACCCATCTGTGTGTCATATGACAGCAGTTTGTCGGCATCACAATGCGCCAATATCTCTGTAGATGTACGCAGATGTTTGAATTCATTGCCACTTCCAAGTTGGGGATGGGAAAGACCATTTGGCGAAAACACCTTCTGCTCTTATTCATGTTCATCAACCTGCTCAGAATGATATTTAGACCTCACACAGCGCAAGGCAACTTCACATATAGTTGAAGATCTGCCTGAGCGACAGGTACCGCCACCACCACTAGTCGATCCGACATCCGCACTACTAACTGAGCCTGCCACAGATGCTACAGACGAACAAGAAGGCAAAAATCCAGACATTGTGCGAACTTCTTCCAGCTATGTGCAGCGTTGCACGGTCTGAGCAAACGCGTATAATATATACACGTACGGTGAATGATTCCATCGTGATAACTTATAGAAAAGACTACGATCACGCTGGGTACAAGTAAGTCCGCGCGCACAGCGATTCCAAGGTCTCACCACGACATTAGTGCTGCCCGCAAGCAAGGTTAACTACTTACAAAACATAGCTAGCATGAGACTCTTGGTTTGGAATGGTTCCAATACTAAATACAAGCGGTGAAGTCCATCGTTTATGTTGTAGCCGCTCCATATGACGTTAATTTCAATTTGTATGCGCCACAATGCGGGTCACTATGACACGTTGCATCCTCGTGGATCATTTGTTGGTCATTGTTTGTCAATGAAAATTAACGATCAGCTGATTGAACGAAAATCGTCTGATATGCTGTCTACAATGACTGTCATTATCCCCCTCGAGATCGTCATAAAGATTCTAACTCTCGCCACTCGTAGAAGAAAGGATGCAGCATCCTGGATTCGGCTTTGTAGACACACCTACACCCTGTGAGTGTTCAACCCCGCATTAAATCCGTTCTATCTTTACTTATCGTCCACCTACAGATTCGAACGATTACTGTATACTAAGGTCGTCTTGCTAGATGACAACCATGCATCCAAATTCGTGAAATGCTATCACCTTCGGCAGGCGCACAGCGAGTCTCTCAGACCAACCACAGCTATGTTTATCGGCAATGGTACCAAGTACAACACCATAATCGACTGTCCTCTCGCTTTGCAAAGACATCACAGATCTTTGCATAGTATCAGAAGACTCTGACAACATCCTTCCTGATCTAACATCTATTTACCACGTCCTGGATACCCTCCCACTCACAGCACTTTCTTTGATGACACGATCATGGCTCACTAGGTCTTCCATGGTGATGGCGAATACATTCGCTAAACTCACGCATCTCGAGATCGACGATCCAGGACTGCTCTGTCGTCTTGACATGGGCGCCTTCCACCAGTTGACCCACCTGGCGCTGTGGACTGACTTGTCCGACCACCGGCTGCTCCTCCCCAGGCTGGTCAATCGTCTTCTCCAACTTGCAACGCTGAAAGTGCTTATTTTCCGTGCATGGGGTCACCGCTCATGTGCACGGAGCCTGGAATACTATGGACTGTTAGATCCTCGCATCGTCATCGGACCATCAAAGGTGTATGTATGGGATCATTTCGGGCAAGGCTCCATGTTACTTTGGGAACTCGCCGATGAAAGGACAAACATTCCTGGCCCTAACCACAGTACGTACGTCTATGCGACTCTGAAATAGTGATATCATTTAAAACATCCCACAGGAAAGCACCGTTGCTTCTCAAATAGCACGTATGAAAATCGATTCAGGGATTTCATGGCTCTTCCTCGGGTACCTGAACGCGATGTAGACCGTGAGCTCGTCCAGTGTTTTGTGGTGGGTAGATTGTTGGATGGAACACGGGAAACCATTTGGAGGCGCAATGATTCCAGTGACGACTCATCAGAGGAGGAGTTGGCTGACGATGACAAGGAGGAGGATTCTGCAGACCATAATTCCCCGAGCGATGACGCAGAGGAGGGGTCGTATATCGATGTCACATAGGAGTAGTGCGATCCAGGAGCATCGTTGACGCTGTCTGTTCTCTGATGTACAATCTATATGTCCGCCACCAAATATATTCATGTACATGCTTCACGCAGGCCATCCTGCGTCTATGCATGACATTGCAATGATGCGCCTGTCACTTGGGCTCACAGACAACTGTCTTGACTGATGAATCTACCACCAAATGAGCATACATCGTAACGCTGGCGTACATGAAGTCATTTATGAATCAGTGTATTTGATTCAGATTTTTACGGCCTCAAGGCCAAAGCCTCATACTTGAGAAAGTCAATTGGCCCACCATCAGGAAAGGCCACCTTGAATATTGACTGAGCGTCGAAGTGCAGATAGATTGTTGCAGTAATATGTCACCGCGATATGCCAATGTGAACAGACGATACTGCGTGGCGGTAAATATTCTATATGTCATGATACGACGTTCATAAGTCACAGAATGTCAATGAAGACACGCGTGCCCCTCAGACACTATGTAAAGAGGCGATCAAGGTCAATCCGCGACCCTACAATTCCACAACTACGATCCTTAATGTAGCAATACTGCACGCATGAATTTGGTGATTTGTCATGACAGTGTACCTTGAGTTCTCCAGACAAGGATATCACCACAAGGGCCAGCGCCCAATTATGTCTGAGATATTATGTGTGGCATTGCCCAGGGAATGGTTTATACACCGCGTGGGTATCGCCTGGCGCGCCAATTAACTCCTAGCTGAAGGGGTTGTACACCCCATAGATATCGCCTGGCGCACGTTTTCCAGACCGTGCTATAACCACACCCGGCAGGGCCGTATTCTGGCTGAGATCGACTTGGTTGTATGGCCCAAGGAAGGGGTTCTACACCCCATAGGTATCGCCTGTCGCACCCATCAACTCCCAGCCGAAGTGACTATACACCACACAGGTATCGCCTGGTTCACGCTCTTCATGCCAGGATATTGCCACACTGGGACGCAACCAATTCTGGCTGAGATAGTCTGGGTGGTATGGCCCAAGGAGGGGGTTATACACCCCGTAGGTATCGCCTGGCACACCCATAAACTCCTTGCTGAAGGGGCTATCCACCCCATAGGTACTGCCTGGCTCACGCCATTCAGCCCATGTTATTACCACACTGGGCAGCGCCCAATTCTGGCTGAGATAGTCTTGGTGGTATGGCCCAGGGAAGGGGTTATACACCGTGTAGGTATCGCCTGCGCACCCATCAACTCGCTGTACATTGCCCTACAGGTCTTTACATCATAAATATTCAGTCCAACAATCCGGAACACTCAGAGCGGAACTCACCTCGGAACACGCAAGGATATCACGTAAGTTCAATAGGCCAATGATACGACAGCATAACTCCTCCGGGATAGTAGAAATATTATTTTTCTTCAGTACTCTATGCATCGCTGCGACTAGCCTGATGAGTGGGTAAATGAAAGAAGAAGTAGGAAAGATGGGGCTCTCGTTTGCCTAGAATTATATATACGTACTCGGATGTATGACACATGTTTTAATTTCGCTTATCCAACATCCAGCATGACGAAATCAACATACATAAACGCTTCATATATTGAAAATAAGCTCTTAAGGTTGACTGTTGTAGATATATCTATCTCAAGACGTCAAAGAAAGACAAGTTGCATGGATGCATGGGGCGGGCTAGGAAGATGGGACTGAAAACAAGCCGAACATCAAGGAGATTCAAGGGGCAGGCACGACGCAAGACAGTCGAACATGTGTTTCCTTCTTTGGGATATACAACAACAGTAGTTACATATTGCGGAGCATCTGATCAATCGGTGAAGCGCACGCTATATGATGAGGATGTATGCCGAGCTAGCACAACTTATCTCTGGATCCACCACCGAGCTAATACATGTATGTCCTGCTCCCTCAGACGACATTTACTGACATGTCTTGACTATAAGCTATATGATTCTGGCTCGCTCAAACGTAACCATCACTTTGCGACACACATTGCTGCCTGTTTGCGCAATCTTTAGCCTCTCGACGCTTTCTGTACTGTCTTATTGTAGCTCCTGAATAAGCAGATGAAATGGTACGGGACAAACACCTATTCGAACGTTGCGCTTGAAACAACCTTTTTTATGAAGTTTCACAGGACTTGTGAGCTCTGGCGACTGGTAAGTAGTTCAATCTCTGATGCATCCAGGCACCCGTAATAATGTCTATAAACGCACACAATACAACATAATGCCGAGGATTCTCTTCCGAGGCAGACAGAACAAATGATGCTGAAGGCATCCAACTATGAAAGGACAACCGCCTGTTACCTCCCACTACCAATCCCTTCCTCGTTGCTGCCTTCGTGGTCGCATTATTTGGCTGAGCCTCGATCACTCAACATCGGTCTTGGAAGTGGTGCTTCCAGTTCTACAAGTGTTGTATTTTCGATTTTCCAACTTCACGTCATCTCTACATGCTGTTCAGTGACATCCATGTCTCATTAGCCACGCAGCTTCCACCCTTCCCTCTGAATTCGGCGAACTTGAGGCCCGACCTACGCTTTCTCCTCACCATTCAATGATTGACACACACAGTGGTGAGGCACCGTCACTGATAAGCAATCTTAGAAGTCCGTTGCCGAAGAGTTTGCCTCATTCATACAGGACGATGAAACAATATACACGCCAGTTGACCTTTTAGCGCATCGTGATGGTGTTTTGTATCTAGATACCTTATTTTCAATAACCAGTGTTATGTTTCTCGATGTAACGTACGAGGATGTTTGCAAACTTCACCATCCGGGTATCCTGCAGTGCACTCGCGGGGTACAGCACACGATAATTTGGACATGCGTATGCACATGTATGACTATTTATCGAGCATAATGTTGGGTGTGCATGGCTACTAGACTTGTAATCATGTAGCTACGTTGACTGGATCAACGTCCGCACACATGTCCTGACATTAAACGAGGCGTCCCAACAGACGCAAGGATGTCATTTACAATAAAGACGAAGTAATAGTGGATTATATATTATTATATTACATAGATTGTCCTGAGACATGGAGGTGACCAAGATATTTCAATCATATACACAGAAATCCTTCGACATCTTTGTGTCGACCTTCGTATAAGCAAGGCTTACACACTCTCACTTACAGCATTGACATTCCTATAAATTTCGGCATCTCACAAGCAACACATTTAGTATGATATGGTGTATCCTGTCCACTCCAGGTATCTACCGAGTAATGACAGGTCCACTGACCGCAGAAATTTCACTCGAAAATTATTTTACGGTTTTAAACATATTGTATAGCATTGTGATAGACTAAACTGGATGATACTCTTTGTTGTACAACGGGAGGCAGACTTTGCTGGCTCTATGGCCCGTTTTAAGACAGTAGAACAATGATAAGGGTTCGAACTCAGATTGATAATCACGGAAAGTGTGCGCACCTGTGGCGTGAGAAGGTCACGTGATGTCATGTTGAAATATCCTGTCAACGTGTTCACACTATTATTTTGCTCTTGTCCCTTGACCTCCATGATGACGTTTAAACGTCATCTCTTGTTCTCCCATTGATACCGAATCCTGTCACTGCTTTCTTCTTGCGTCCTCGCTCCCCATGGGAGCAGCAGGGCAGTTTGCTCTGGCGCTTGCTGTGTCTCATTTGGCTCGGTGCCTCTTTGGTCTCGCGTCCTCGCTCCCCATGGGTGCAACAGAGCCGTTCGCTCTGGCGCTTGCTGTGTCTCATTTGGCTCGGTGCCTCTTTGGTCTCGCGTCCTCGCTCCCCATGGGCGCAACAGAGCCGTTCGCTCTGGCGCTTGCTGTGTGTGTCTCATTTGGCTCTGTGCCTCTTTGGTCTCGCGTCCTCGCTCCCCATGGGCGCAACAGAGCCGTTCGCTCTGGCGCTTGCTGTGTGTGTCTCATTTGGCTCTGTGCCTCTTTGGTCTCGCGTCCTCGCTCCCCATGGGTGCAACAGAGCCGTTCGCTCTGGCGCTTGCTGTGTCTCATTTGGCTCTGTGCCTCTTTGGTCTCGCGTCCTCGCTCCCCATGGGCGCAACAGAGCCGTTCGCTCTGGCGCTTGCTGTGTGTGTCTCATTTGGCTCTGTGCCTCTTTGGTCTCGCGTCCTCGCTCCCCATGGGTGCAACAGAGCCGTTCGCTCTGGCGCTTGCTGTGTCTCATTTGGCTCGGTGCCTCTTTGGTCTCGCGTCCTCGCTCCCCATGGGTGCAACAGAGCCGTTCGCTCTGGCGCTTGCTGTGTCTCATTTGGCTTTGTGCCTCTTTGGTCTCGCGTCCTCGCTCCCCATGGGCGCAACAGAGCCGTTCGCTCTAGCGCTTGCTGTTTCTCATTTGGCTCTGTGCCTCTTTGGTCTCGCGTCCTCGCTCCCCATGGGCGCAACAGAGCCGTTCGCTCTGGCGCTTGCTGTGTCTCATTTGGCTCGGTGCCTCTTTGGTCTCGCGTCCTCACTCCCCATGGGTGCAACAGAGCCGTTCGCTCTAGCGCTTGCTGTTTCTCATTTGGCTCTGTGCCTCTTTGGTCTCGCGTCCTCGCTCCCCATGGGCGCAACAGAGCCATTCGCTCTGGCGCTTGCTGTGTCTCATTTGGCTTTGTGCCTCTTTGGTCTCGCGTCCTCGCTCCCCATGGGTGCAACAGAGCCGTTCGCTCTAGCGCTTGCTGTTTCTCATTTGGCTCTTTGGTCTTGCGTCCTCGCTCTCCATTGGAGCAACATTGCAGTTTGCTCTGGCGCCTCTTTGCTCTAATGTCCTCTCTCCCCATTGGTGCAAAAGAGCGGTTCGCTCTGGCGCTTGCTACCACATATTTTCCATGTTGCTTTTGCGTCCTTGCATGTACCCAAATTTGTCACTTCAGCTGTAGAATAATCGGTACACAGGCTATCTACGTCTTAATGCAAACAGACCAACAGTGTCAGCCTAGCGAGAGTAACTCTGGATTTGTGTACACAAACATGACTGTTTGCTGTGTGTCGGGTTGCAGTGGATGCCTGTAAGAGAGCATCAGTTGCGCATGTTACAAACATCACAAAAGCTTGCCTATGTTGTTTTGCGACTCATACACCTTAGTCGATAATAAATACAACATGTATAAACGCCAGAGGCTACGAAACACACAAGGTGACTACGGTCTGTTACACCATTTGTCATCCTAAGCGTTGGATACCAGCCTTGACCATTTCATTGATCCTGGGATCGCCCGAAATTCAACACATCAGCTGTATTCGAATCCGACTGTCTCGATGTTTTGTTCATATGCGAAGTCAATCACTCCTCCATATTCACTAACATGATTCAAATCGTTGCATCGTTTGACAACATCGCGATTTTAAATATTGCTTTTGAACGGCAACCTTCATTGCCTCGGTTCGACCTCGATGCACATCCGTTCATCCCACCTCCATTATAACGAAGTGACAACTCGTGTTAACACTACCATCGAGAGCCTTTGAAGCTTATACTTCATCAGACAAGATATGTGTTGCCTCTACACTCCTCCATGTAGAACTGGGCGTCGATATGGCGGCCATTCTTACGCGTGATAAGCTGAAAACGGAATAAACTTATAGTGGTCGGGAGACGTCGTGTAATATATTCGATGGCAGCCACAACTGGCACTGGCAAAGTTGCGTTCCAAGCGGCAACTCGATGGAAAATGCCTCACAGACTTAACCCGCGTCTTGAGTACATGGTATAAGAGGTAGCTCCCATCTCTGATACCCGTTTCCTCGTCACTGAATTTCACAACAAGTGTCGTTGGGTTTCAGATATGCACACATGAACACAAGTCGGTAGGAATCAATTTAACCAATCATATGTGTGATCCAGTCAGGAAATGTGAGACGAACGGGCTGCTTGCGTAATATATATCCATGCTCAAATATAAATGCCGTCCTTTGAATATCCTCTGACCACTCCCTCGTCTAACTGTCGCGTTCACGATCTCAATCCACGATCTATCTGACGAATTCGCCACCTTCATTCACAACTTGATTTTTGCAATGAAACGTTCTGCCCCAGAAGACCTTTTCACGCCGAAAATGAGAAAGCGCTTTAGATACGATGATCTAGAGATGGACCAGACAGCTTACAATGTATGTACAAGTTCCACCTTCCGTTTATAATCACATCCGACATATTGAAGGACGAACAGGATGAGGACGTTACCACGCTGCGATCCCCCAGCCCACAGTCGACCATGCGTCGGCACGTACGCGAGGTCCTCGAGATGCTCAATCGCGTAGAGTATCAGGTGGACTACCTGCAGGAGGAACGTGAGGAGACACGTATAAAACATGAGAAAGAGGTGGAACGGTACCAGGACCGTATTGACGGCCTTGAAGAGGAGGTTCGGTATCAGCAAGCAATCATCGATGTCATCAGCGCCGACGTCGAACGGCTCGAGGAAGAGACGGAGGGACAGAAAAAAGATGTCGAAGAGTTCATCGAGCGCGAACTTCGTGATACCGTCGCGCGAAAAAAGCGTGTTGCAGTACTGAAGGACCGGATTACCGAACTCGTTGACAACGCTAACTTGTAAATTCAAGTTTTACAGATAGCTACATATGATCTGTAAACGTCTACCATTCTCACACGCCTGCTCTATCACACGGTTGTAATGTACTATTAACATACGATTCTCCCATGTCTACGATGTCATTATCAGGCTCTCGTGCATATAAAGCGACATCGCACAATTCCATTCATGACTAACCTCCATCTCGATCTGCTACCTTGCCACCTAATATTTGCAGGTACTTATCTCCACCAATTGCTCCCAGTCGCTGACACCACCCATATCATCTACGATATCGCCAGATGCTATCAGGCCCCAAGGAATAAAACAAAGATGAGATTCCTTCATTCCTGCGCCCGATATACGCAATTATTCAGACCTCCATAGTTCAACATCATTTTTACGAGTCGTTATTGACCTTGTGCATCAGTTGTATCTTGGTACGTATAACAAAGTTTCCATCTGCAAAGCACTGTTAGAATGACAACGGCAGTTGTGGAGACGCACCCCCACAGCATCCGAGGTTAACGCAAGATCTTGTGACCTGAATAAGTACCTGTGCCAGCACCCATCCCTGACTTCTGGTGATGGAATGCTACTCTGCCTGTCGTTCCTGGAGCGCGAGTCACTGTCTCATACGACAGGGTATTAGTTTCAGACGCTTCTCGCGCTAGTGCCAAGGTGGTGCACGGTTAGGCGGAAGAGTCAACTCAAGGTGATTTATCTCTGTCTTCCTCATTCGCGCAACGTCCTACAAGACAAAGCTTATGAAGAAGGAGCTCTGCACCATATTTCATGACCCAGATGGTGCATCTGATAACATCGACGACCTCTCAAAATGATACATTCCATTCTCTACGTAAGGCGTAACGAACACATAAATCAGCAGCTGTGTAGGAAAGCCCTTGATACGTTGGTGGGCGTTTTCATCTCTCAATCATTTCAAAGACTTCGTCACCTACTCTGCTGAGGGCTTCCTAGACCGTAATCTCGATGCTCATAAGCATGATTTCGTATTCCTTCTTCGTCGCTCAGCTTCGGGTGTTTCTGATGTCACAGAGGGTGCTGTGACAATGAACCCTGTCTTCAAAAGCCTATTATTGGGGCAAGGCTATTGCAAGACAAGGCCACCACCAAAACTCTTCCTCTTGTCGCCAACGCGTCGCCATCCTGCGCGCTGATACACACGATGACGTGCACGACACTCGCAAGTATTTTCGCAGTGACCACTTTGACAATCGCAGCCGTCTCATGACTAATCTGGATGACTCGAGCTCCATCTACGGTATCGAATTCTGTCGCGCCCCAAACCTTTGATGAATCCTCGATGTATCCATTCAAATACCTCGACAAGCAAGTGACTTTATGATGATTTAGGACACGCTCATATCGAACTCACATTACAAGACGTCTAAAACGAATACGTTACATATCTCGTTGCATAATCAGGTATGTTAATCGACTGAAGATGTAGCGTCTACATATACTACCGAAGCGCTGACGACCTACACAACAACTGGTGTTAGCCTTGCGTCCCGGATATTGTTCGGGCCTTGTCATCATGATTAAGATTACGATTCTTCTCAGGTTAGTTGTGAATATATCACGTCACGCAGTCTCTCATCTTAACAGTTCTATAAGCCCGATGAGGAATCTTACCTGTTGCTAAAGAGCCCACCGTCTTGGAGGCATGAAGCGTGGACTTCACCATTATAATGGTATCCGCCATGAATGCAATCTTTAAAGTATAATGATAGCATCGCATATGGAGGTTTTATCCAATCTATTTCGATTAACCGCACGGAGATACACATACAGTCCATGTAATCAGAATCACGCTCACCAATTACACTTCATTCAATTGCTTACACACCAATCGAGCTCAATGTTCTTTGCAAAACCACAGTGAGTACTTCTACGTCAATTTGACATGGTAGGATTCAGTGACAATATCACACAGGGAAGCACCGCTGCTTCTCTGACAGCACGTTTCAAAATAGACTCAGGGATCATATGGATCTTCCTCGAGTTCCTGAACGCGATGTGGATCGTGAGCTAGTAAAATGCTTTGTGCTTGGACGTTCTGGAGCAGTGCGATCTGGTCTGACGCGCAATGATTCCAGTGACGAGGACGCAGGAGGATTCTGATGACGACGATATCGACGAGGATTCCTCCAATGAGGACGTAGAAGATGCTCCACATAACAAAGCCATAGACGTGTGGTGTGGTCTAGGAGCATCTTCGACGCTGTGGGCTATCGTTAGTACAATCCTGACATACAATTAGGTACAAGTGGACCATCCTGACTTTTGCGTGATATTCTTGTCAGGCATCAGTCACGTAGGCTTACGAACGAATATGGACTCATATCGTAGCATTTGTGCACATTACACCATTCGGAGACGCGTGTACTAGAGTCAGAGCATCAGGACCTCAATGTCAATGCAGCAACTACCGATAGACGCAACATACAATGTGACCTCAAACCATATGCTGGACGTTCATCCGCTATTCACCACGATTCATGAATATCGATGTAACTATAAGATTGTGCTATGGCTGTTGTTGATAGGATTTTTCTGAGGATTGTGCATACAGCCTATTACTTCCCACAAATGCATCCATGTGAGGTGAGGCCAGGCGCACAAGTTCGCTTCTTGTGAATCCGTATCAATGTTTGTGTATACCAAGCGCTTCTTATACCTTCCTTGCTAATCGTTTCACAACCAGGCTCTCGTACACATAACGCGACATTGCATCATCGCATCCATCATGGCTAATCAAGGGACGCGGATGAGAATGAGGATGGTGAAGCTGTGATTGTGGAACCCCCAGTCAGAGATGAGAAGGAGGTGGAAGAAATGTATCTGAAGAACAGGCAGGAGAGACGGCTGAGATTGTTAAATGTTAGGCCATTTTCATCTCCATAGATAATCTATTCTCCTCTCACAGCATCTCCTTCCACAGCGCTATGTAGCAAAATCAAGCAACACGACAGCCAAGAAATCAAGAAAACAAGCAAAAGACGAGGATAAGGAAGTCAAGGATAATGAACGGGACGGTCAAGAGTACGATAAGGAAGTCAAGGATAAGAAAACCGACGCCATAGGATATGATACCATACCGCACCGCACCGCACCGTACCGCAGTCGAGACAAGGATAAGAAACACGATGGACTACGATAGACTACGATACCATACGATAGTCAAGACAAGGATAAGAAACGCGATAGACCACGATACAATAACATACGATATGACAACAACACAACAGTCAAGGATAAGGATAAGCAGGGCGATCACATGTCGGATCGCCCCCACCCACCCGCCCGTTAGAGGTTATAAAACCACCGCCCGCCGGTTAGCTTTCTCGTCGTCTCGTATAAAAACGTATTCTCTCGGCGTCTCGGTTCTCGGTAACATACGCTAGGAAGACGAGCAATACAATAGACAAGGATAAGAAATACAATACGCTACGACACGATACCATAGCAAGAGACTACGATGGCAAGACAAGCAACACGACAGCAATAAATCAAGCGAAATCAAGCAACACGACAGCAAAAAAATAGCAAAAATCACGCAAAATCAACCCGAGTCCGAACTAGGTTTTCGCCTAAGCCTACGCCTCGGATCAAGCAAAATCAAGCAAAAATCAAGCAAAGTCAAGCCCAGTCCTAACGAGGTTTTCGCCTAAGCCTCAGATCAAGCGAAATCAAGCAGCGCGACAGCAAAAAAATAGCAAAAATCAAGCAAAAATCAAGCAAAGTCAAGCAAAGTCCGAACGATGTTTTCGCCTCAGCCTACCCGTCAGATCAAGCAAAATCAAGCCAGACAATAGCAAAAATCAAGCAAAGTCAAGCAAAGTCGAAACAAGGTTTTGACCATCGCCCACGCATCGCCCCAGACAAGGATAAGGACAAGGAATACAATAGTCAAGACAATGATAAGAAACGCCATACCATACACCACAACAACCAAGTCAAGTCAAGGATAAGAAACACCATACCATGGGAAACAACAAGATACAATACAATAGTCAAGTCAAGGATAACAAACACGATAGACCGCCGTACGATAACAATACAATAGCAATACAATACAATACGATCACATACAATAACAATACAATAGCCAAGGATAAGGATAACAGGGCGTGCCATACGTTAGAGTCGTTAGATCCCCCCACCCGCCCACCCGTTAGAGTTGTTAGTTTTTAGGGTTAGGGTCAGCTGTTAGAAAACCACCCCCCGCCGGTTAGAGGGTTGGTTAGCTTTCTCGTTGTCTCGTATAAAAACGTATTCTCTCGGTGTCTCGGTGTCTCGGTTCTCGGTTCTCGGTACCACACAATAGCAAGACAAGCAATACAATAACAAGAGACCACGATACCAAGACACGCCATACAATACCAAGACACCACGATACCAATAAAACAGCCAAAATAAAGCCACGCCGGAGCCATAAAATAGCAAAAATAAAGCAAAATCAAGCCCAGTCCTAACGAGGTTTTCGCCTTCGCCCACGCGTCGGATTAGGGTTAGTTATGAACCCTCCTAGGTTCCGTTCCACCAAGAAAAACGGCATTCCTAGGTTTTTCCCACGGTCCAGGACTGCCCCCGCCGCGCCGCCATCCTTCGATCCCTATGCCTGGCGCTCTAGGACTGCCGCCGCCAACACCACCGTCATTCGACCCCCCCACTCGCCACCATTTCTCACTATGCCTGGCGCTCTAGGACTGCCGCCGCCAACACCACCATCATTCGACCCCCCCATACACTGGCGCTCCACCATACATGATACATCATTCTCTACCCAAAAAAAAAAAAAAAAAAAAAAAAAAAAAAAAGACCCTGCACACAGTGGCACTCTAGGACTGCCACCACAGCACACCTTCTTATCATACATGCTAAACCCCCTCTAAAAATGACCCCGCACACACAGTGGCCATCCAGGAAGGCCACCATGCGTCATCATTCTCATCATATATACACTTCTCTGTCAAAAAATTGACCCCCACACACAGTGGCACTCTAGGACTGCCACAATGCGCATCTCACTGAAATGAACCATGCATCATGAATGCTGCTTCAATTCATGGTTGGCATCGAAAGACCACACACACAGTGGCACTCTAGGACTGCCACCATGCACTCCTTCAAAAAATATGTCACTATTCTCCATATTGTATATGAGATTGCCATGCGTACAACATTACATTTATGTATTCAAATGGTGGCGCTCGTACGCCTTCACAATATGTCCCTATTCTTGATGCTGTACACTGACTAAAATGAACCATGCATCAATGCCGCTTCGATTCCGTAAAAATAAATAACCCTGTGCCCAGTGGCACTCTGGGACTGCCACCACGGCACACCTTAAACCACACTAAAACGCTGGCAGCAGCTCGTCCGACAACAAAAGCCCCATCCCCATCCCGCCCATCCTCTGTTTGACCGCACCGCTCATGTCTCGACAGAGGCTCGCATTATCAGACTGTCATTCATCACAAGCCTCCCTTTGTTTCACCAACCACTCATGTCCCCCCCATGAAAAACAAGAAAAAACCTGATACACACAGTGGCACTCTGAGATGGCCACCAATGCACACCCCTCCATTACTTAAATTCCCTTCATTTGACCACTCAAAAAAAAAAACAAATTCAATTGTTCCCCCTTGGCATTCTACCCACCCCCCCCACACACAGTGGCACTCTGAAGACTGCCACCAATAAAACATGCCCTTCATTTGACCGCTCAAAATGATGAGGAGTGGGCTGATGGTCAGAGGCCTGCTGCGCAAAGATACCATGTGCCAACAAGAAACAGTAGGTACATTTTTTCCAGCTACCATTGAAAACATACGTACAAACCCTCTCTGCAATCCCAAGAGGCAAAAGCTTCCTCCAGGCAAGTCCACAGTTTGAGTGATATCAGTTCTGTTCTTCAACTGTCGCTGTACTGTTTGCAATGCCACAACCTTGCTCGATGTGATGAGGACTGCAAGGCTGGTCAAGACTGCTTCCTGGTAATATTCTGGCTGGTGGCAGATGATGTATGTAGCTGCACTGTGTTTTTTTGGCATATGAGCGGTGCCACAGCATTAGAACCTGGAAAAAACATGTTCGCAAGTCTCCAGATCCTTATCCTTGATCCCAAGACCTTCTTGATAGAGAGTATGGTACTGTAGTTGGCAGCAACGATTGTGGGCGTGTCCATGAAAAGAGTTGACAACAAAATGATGATTCAGCCTCTTCACTTTGTCGAGGTGATTGAGCTGGCGGCTACAGTCTTTGAGAATGAACACTCAATGGTCATAACCAGTCACGCCATTGGGCCCATAGACGTCAATCAACTTGTTTGCTGTTGCGAGAGCATACTTCGTTCACGCTTGACAAATGTATATCATTAATTAAACAATTAAGTTGAAATAGAACTGCACATACAGTTCACCACTTTGCCTCATTTCAACAAGGTTTGAATGATCCCATGACGGCATGCACTGACAAAGATGCCTGTTTGCTCATCAAATATGTTAGTGGTATTTTCAGCTATCGTATTCGCAGCCTAGGCCACAGAAAACTGGTCCCGCAGTGACTGATAATAAGTACACTCATGAAATAGTAGGGTCAGTAAGGAAGGAGAGCTGCATGGGTACAAGCGGTACCTTTCAGGATTCTTCATTGATGTTCACTACGCCCTCCACTCCCATACTCGACTTTGACAAGGCCTGCCGGCTTAAAGTCGAAAGTCAGAAGTACTTACACCTTCGACTCCATCTCCAAGTTCCGCCGACTCAAAGTCTTTCACCTTTCATCCCTCAGAATTGTCACATACACCGAGCGCTTCATCAGCTCAATCCTTCCATTGGAGAGAAAGGAAATGCCAACAGAACCAGAGGTGGTAAGAGGGGTCGAGGAGAGGTGTCTTGTTGGGGGGGAAGCCTGTCATAACTGGAACCGGGGAGTATGCAACAAATCCACCTCCAATTGCCCCCGTTTCCACGTATGCAGCCGATATCGAGGAGGACACAGACAGACAGACTGTCCACTGGCAAAGGAGGCTAAATGAAGCTATCACCCATGGACAAAGATTTAGGAGAAGGATGGTATGGTGAGAGGAAGCCAAGTCAATCAGTGGCACGGCATTGTGGACTGAATCTGCTGAGCCCCTTCCTCGTCCTCCACCTTCTGAATTTGACAATGTTGCGGCACTCACCACCATTTCCAAATATCCACATCTCTTTCAGGTCTCTACACCTATTAATGTCGATCACTTCGAAACCCTCCTCACTCCTCACTCTTGCTCATCATCCCAATATTCCTTTTGTCTGTTCTGTCTGTTCAAGGCCTTCGTGAGGGGTTTTGGCTTTGGGCTGATACTCACGGGACACCTGGTGACTAGAGTGAGCACGCCATGACAGCGATCACGCTAGACAACCTCTGTCGCCTCCGCAAGTTGCCTACTTCTCAGGTGTTTTCATCTCCACAGCTTCGCAGAGTCGTATCCGACACCCAACTTTCACCACCATGAAGGGAATTCAAGACTGACTCTGAGCATTTACTGGCACCCCAGGATATTTTAATTTGTGAATCACGAGTCTCACGAATCACCGAGTACTGAGTACCGAGTACCGACACCCGACACCTGGAATTCGGCACTCAGCACGTGAGACGAAAGATTGGAAACAAAACAACTCAAAATTCGAAACTCGAAAGTACTGACTACCGAATACCGAGTACCGAGTACCGAATCTCGGGTATCGGTACTTGGTACTTGGTACTCGACATGAAGCTCGAAACTCGTAAAACTGTTTCGAATCACCAAGTACTGACTACCGAGTACTGAAACCTGAGACCCAAGACCCGGAATTCGGCACTCGGCACTCAAGACGACAGATTTGAAACTTGGGAGGCAGGGAAAGCTTTGGATGGGGCGGGAGTTTGGGAGGCGGGAGGAGCCTTTGAGGGAGTCTTGGAGGAAGCCCTGGATGGTGTTCTGGACCTCGCCCTCTGGGTAGTAAAGGAAGCACGATTGCGAGGAGGCAGGGATCCCATAGTCGCGGGGGTGCACTTGATTTTCTTTGTCGTGTAGTAGATGCATGACATACATGGAGCCCCGGTCCTCTTGTCCAACCGAGTTGCGCAAGGCCAGTTTTGCTTGTGGCAAGCGTAGCATGGGTTGTT